GAAATCACTTGTACCAGTAGTATTACTAGAATAACTGCCTAGTTTAAACTGGTTGTGATGTCAACTTTTTTGGGTTCACCAACCGATGATCGTTTTCTACCGAGGGATTTGCTTTCCTCAACAAGCCATAGCTGCGTTGAACTAGAACTTCCCAAGGTCACAGTTAGTGACTTGTTTGCTTGTCATTTTGGGCTCTCAACGACACGGTACAAGGCGTTGAGTGTTCAATCTTGCCACTGACTTTCAGACCTGACCCAGTATGACAGACACCTTGTGTCTGATGTGCGAGTCTTGAATGGGCTAGCATGCCTTGCAGAGCATTCAGCATTGTTTGTCCTTTCTTCGGTTGTTGGTTTCTAAAAGCGTGTTTCCATACCGGTGGGATTCATTTTGTCTGACTGGAACTGCTGGTGACACGCCTTCGAACTGGACGCTTCCCCCGTTTTATCTAATATTCTCCTGTACACACTTCCACGTCTATCGCTTGGATTTATTTTTTACGTTTGTGGCCATGCTCTTCAAAAATAAACGATGATATTTATTTCAGGGCAGGACTTCATCGATTTAAACACACATGACTGTTGGGCGACTGGTACAAACATTACAACTTGAGTTCACACTGACGTGCACCAGCCAACTGTTGCATACTAGCAACGGACAAATCTGAGTGATAAGACTATCCCCAACTATATCCTATGTTGTACTTGAGAGTAATGACCTTTATTTGCAAGCCACACACAAATTTAAATGTAGATTTAAAACCAGCAACTGAGTGAAGGAAGTAGTCCATCGACATAACTGATATGCAAGAAAGTAATAGTGATCCGCAATTAGCGTGTATGCATGATGCAATTTGGCCTTAACCACGACTGGTGTGACTCACGCTGAGTCAGCTCGCTAGATAACTTTGATACCTGTCCCCGTATTCATTGTATTGATCCGCATTTGATCCAGCATCCAAACTGCGGTTATATCTATGCTAAAACCCACAAATAATTGCAGACAGTGACTTAGCCCCTGTAGCATGGAAATTCATCCAACCACGTGATTTACAAAGGAAACAACATCGGCTGAAGAATGAAGCAGGCTTCTTATCAAACTCACCATGCCTGTTGCGATATCCCGTGCAAATGAGACGCGCGTGCAGAAGGACGGAGGTTGCTCTTCGGGAGAGTTCAATAAAATTTGATGAATGCTTCCCCGATCAATGTATTCGGTGACTAGACATAGTCGCTTATTCCTCACCACGATGGCCAAGCAAGTCAGAATATTTGGATGCTTCAGATTGCGCAGTACTGAAACCTTTTCAAATGGAATACCACATAGGAAAGAAAAATCAGAAAGTACAAGGAAAACTGTTTTGTTTCTGTCCGGTAACTATAAGACAATACACAAGGCAAGATCAATCATACGATGGCGGTAGGAGGCAGATTAGCTGTTCCACAGAACGAGAAACAATAGTCCAGTAAGGACGTTTGACTGACAATCAGTTGCTTCGAGATTCTCGTGGCGAATACCAATTGGAATTGCATTTTAAACCTTATCTTGTTCGAAATTCAGCCACTTTCCGTGGAAATGACCTTCTGACCAAATCTGGCTCACACACATAACAGATTCTGAGAACTGAATCACAGCTCTCAACACAACCAGAACGTGTCACACCAGGGATGTCATCAGACAGAAGAGCGGACCTGTAAAATTTACGATTTTGGCCGAGTTCGGTCACCCCACCAATAAAACCAGTCTAGTGCGTTTAACAGCTTCTCTTATGGGGAAGACACATTCAAGAAGCCGGATTCACCTTACCTGCTTCATGCTACCATCTCGATGACATTTCTTTCAACAAAATAGGGAATTTTTGTTTGCGATTTTCAAAGTGGGCACAATTTCATTTGGTCGAAGTAGGGATTTATCTGATGGGAGTTGAACGCATAGTGCTAGATTTCTCACTACTAGAGCGGTCTGGCCTTTCAGATGACGTTCTTCACAGTACGCGATGGCTCATTGGCTAGAGTGCGAATTTGCTGACCGCAACGTCCGTGGTTCGAATCCGATCTCTGCCCCTCGACTTCCCCTGTCTATGCTTGGGCAGCCTGGTAGTATCCCAGCCCTCGTGCTTCCCTATGGGGGCATGGCAGTTAGGCACCGAAAGGGTGTTACAACTGAATGACTTTTTCCTTCTTCCGTCATACATCAAACATCCCTCTGCTCGATTCGTGGAATGAACTGGTTTCTCGCTTCAACTAGCGGGAACACGCTTAGAACCGATTGAGAGATCACCATTTCAGACAGGTAGGGAAAACATTCGTTGGATTTATGAATAAATCTACCGATTGTCCTCCAAACTTCTTAAAATACTTCTTTGGTTGTTCTGATTACCACTTGGCTCCAAGCGTTCTGTTTATGCTAAGCAACTAATGAAGTGGTTGGGTCACACGCGCAGTTGAACGGCTTTGGATTTACCAGCCTCTGTGTGCACTTTGAGCGAACGACACCGGTCACGTGCCTGTGGTCACTGGGTCGGACAAGCTTCTGTTCACGTGAACATCAGTAGCACAAAGTTTTGCATGAATCTGGCCGTTTGCAGATGCATAATACATAACTGCCTGATGAGCCCCAAGAAGAGTTTTCAGCAACCTCGTGAGCAGTTTCCTTTATGAAACTACACGATTAACTTCTCGCGGAACAAAAAGCGCCCACGAAGCTTATACATCACTGAAGTATCCGAAAATGAGTGGGAAAAAATAATCGGGAACAGATGGAATTGCAAGCCCAAAACAACCATTGCTTCACACAAATCCGTGCAGTTGTGCGCCAACACTGCTTTACTGTGTCATGAAAAGTTAAGTACCGTCACCGGCGTGTGGTAAAAACTCCTCCGCTTTAGGTTAAAACTTGAAGCGTAAGAAGATAGGTATTTAGCGTAGATTTCAATTCAGGTTATGCCGAGGAGGAGGCTTGGCATGCGAGCGTAGATGGCTCGCTCTGACCACTTCAACCAGTGCATGCACAGCTGTCATCAAATGACATCATCTTTCGGCGCAGCTGGACTTTTGCAAATGAAGTTCGCACTATAACTGATACTACACCGCCTTCCTCTAGCGCCCAGCTTCAGCAAAACCACTGTCCCCAGGATCAGCACAAGCCAGTTCTTTTCAGCCGAAAGGGCATCGCTGCAGGATAGCCAACATGGTGAAACTCTCATGCGAGATAGGTGAGTAAGCGGGTGTTCCAGGACCACGTGTCTGTGTCCGTACGTATCATTGAATCATCAGTGTACAGTAACGTACGGGCTATCAATATTGTAGTCCACCTTCGTCATCTGTTACCTTTCACTGAACAAGACCGTACTTTTCCAACCGCCAGAGGATAGCACCAACAATTCCTTCAGGTCTTGATACAGAAATCTGCTCCTCGAAAGTGGTTTGGTTTGCTTGTGTCAGTTTGCAGAAACAATCTGCTGTGGATCTCTGTAGGATTGCATGCAACAGTATTGACATATCACTTATCGTCACCACAACGCTGTAAAGGATATCGGAATGCCTCCCTTAGTAAGCTTCGTTACCGTCTACCAGAATGCTTCAAGGTGTTAGCTCAGATGTGGTAATAGCACACAAAAAGTTCGTTACTCTTGGTGTGGTGATCGAAACCACGTGAGATATGCTGGTTATGGAGATGGTCCCTAACATGATTGATGGATGGAACGGTGAAACACCGAAAGATAACGTTAACAAACGTAGCATAAATCAATAGAGAGGTAGTTTGATTGTTGGCCAGCCTCTTTGGAGATCGCTCTTCGTTTTCAGTTTGCTCAAAAGAGCTAACTCAGTTCGTGCGACTGTAGGAAGGCAAGAGCCTTATGTAAAATGACTTATTTTAGGCATTCCTAGTCGTTGAGCACAGCCTTTTTCTTTTTGAATTTCATGCCCATCTCTACAATGAATAAAAGTTGAATGGGATATTTTTCTTTTTTTTCAATCTTCGATACTGCTACCTTCCCTAAACGAAGATTCTCTCCATGGCTGGGCTGCAATCTGATCTCTCTAGACTGATTAGATGTTGAAATGCTCACTAGGATAAAACGTCCAGGTGTGGTCGTTTTAGATAAGTTAGACTGGTAGGAAGACGTCGTCTACAAGACGTTTCAAGTCTAGATTATCGCATTCTGTAAGTGAACCGAGATGGAATGTCACCGCGTATCCAGCAACAACTCTGTGTGCTACGGTGGAGTTCTTATGGTCGTCTTTGAGCGAGGGCAACCATGTAGTTGTAAAGTACAATAACTGTTGTAGTTTTCAGCCTACGACGGCTACCTTCAACGGATTTACAGTATGATTACAGTGGCCTGACTACCCAGATTTGGCAGTCAGATAAACCATCCTTGTTCGCTTCTAAATTTATACACGCATGAGTCCAATCTATTGGTAACGTCACATAAACATGCGTACATTTGTTACGAACACATTGTCAATTCAAGAATTACCGATCACTCGAATCCAAAAAAGCATGCAAAACTAGTAAGGCAAATGCCGAGGTGAATGGCGTTTCCGTTTGAGAAATGTGCGTTAGACAGAGTTTAAAACGTCCAAAACGTATGGTTCTCTTCTGCACACACCCAAACTCTTTTGCTGTTCGAAAAACTCAGACTTGAAATCGATTAAGTTCGTGATCATTTCGTTAGGAATGACTGTTAATAGTCAATCGACTTGTGTGGATGTTCCGGAAAATCTAACAGATTCATGTCAAGATTGCCTAGGTGCTACCGAACTGGAATGTTCCGGAAAATCTAACAGATTCATGTCTTTTTTTTGGACAAGATTGCCTTAGTGCTACCGAACTGGAGGAGGCGAGACGGCCCAATGGTCAGTGGTTCGAATCCGACCTCCGCCTCTCGACCTCCCAGGCTTGGGCAACCTGGAAGTATCCCAGCCCTCGTGCTTCCTTCGGGTGGCATGGCAGCTAGGCACCGGAAGGGTGCTACAGCTGAACGCTTTCTTTCTTTCTACCGAACTGGAGAAGCCGTAAGAACCACGAACTCTGAAAGGCAGTGGTGGAAGAACAACCAACCGGCTCTTATCGGGCCGATGGGCCAAAAACACTTTCCGATCAGTTTAAAACTTCTACCAAAATCGTTCAAATATCGAAAATAAATCGATATTGCAAAGGGTTCGAAAAATTCCCTGAAGAGTTTGAGGTTTTGAGATAATCGGCTAGCAATTTCAACTTATTCTGAGTTTCCACCTTTTGATCTAGGTGTCAATAGGTAGGAAACTGTTTGCTCGAGTTTATTCACCCTTGGTCATCCTGGGGCACCATAATCCTGTTGGATGGAATAGGGGCAGATCAAATTTGTTGGCCTATCCTAATCAGGACAATTAAAGTAAGCTGAAATTTTGGGACGATTGTGCGAAACCTTTGGTTTTTCTAAAAAAACATTCGAAGATTTCCTAATGACTACAGGAAGATTTACACAAATTACAAAACACCTACTGCCTGTTGTTGGTTGGAGCCAATCTGATCGGTTTTTTTCCTACGACTTGAACTTTCACCTAAAAGTCTCATCTGGGTGAAGTGTCCGTTTCGGGAGCATCGAGCAAGTGCATTTCAATTCGTGATTATATATGAGCGGTAGATCCAATTGAATCTGATGTAGGCCTCACGTTGTGGACGAGATGGCTAGGTGGTTAGAGTGCCAATTTACTGGCACTGGTCCATGGTTCGAACCCGACCTCTGCCTCACGACTTCCCTCGTCTGGGCTTGAACAACCTGGCAGTATCCCAGCCCTCGTGCCTCCTCACCTTAACACCTAATTTAAGACTAGATGTTTAACTCAAAATAAACTGGTTTGTTCTTTCGACAACTACTCTGATTCGTACACGAATTTGATTTCGACAGGAGACTCAGATGAAACCACCTGCATTTTTCTTTTGTGATGGTCCGCTTGTCCCCTGTCTCTCTCTTCCTGAAACACCTCTTAGCTGCACACACTCTGCCTGCGGATTCAAACTTTAGTGGATAAACCAAAGATGAATAAAACGAGATATTGTAGCATAAGAACACACTTTGCGACATACCTCGCGAATCAAAGTTTCCTCATTTTCCTTGCTGTTATTCAGTACTTCCTTCACGACTAAAAGGCATCCAAACTGACGGTGTCTCACCTACAACGAATTGAAACATTGCACAGCATCGTCACAAGCAAAGAAAAGATTGACCCGAGTTTGAAAGAACGGGCAAAAAAAAGTTGAAGGGGATTGACTAAGTTCTCAAATCAGCAACTGTTTTTGTTTGAGAGAGGAAGCAATCCGGCTGACCTTAAGTTGATAATGAGGACCTGTTTTGCATCTTTGAAACATGCCTTTCATATTCTAAACTTACAAGTACCAAGCTCGGAGAACAGATCATCAGTCATTTAGTCAACAATTATTAAAAGCACAAGAACTACCAGTATTTCCACATACTGACAAGGAAACATTAGGTCAACTAATGGAGTTACATGACGGTTCTATCCAACTTATTCAGGTCAACACAAATACAACACAAATACCAGATACAACCACAGTAACGTTGGAGCCAGAAGAACAAGACGTATTACGTAATACATACATACACATGAAATATTACATGGGATTGCAGCGATTAGTGGGCCGTCCAGCTCGGCTACGGTATTTCCATATGCAGAACCCAAAGGAGTAACGTGCTCTGAAATTCCAGGTACATGGGACATATGGTTACATGGGTACGATCCCCCCTCACCTCAATTGATTGCATACCCATATCCCACAAAGACGACAGGGCGAGCCAGTTAGCTACCAGGATTTTCCTTACAGACAATGCATAGTATGGAGATGTAAAAGTTACCTACACCCCGCGACAAAAATATATAGTCATGATATGCTTTAAAATAAGTCCAAACTTGCGGAAAAAAAGAACGGAATAAGTACCGACATGTGTTGGGAACGATTAGACTGCGGCAAATCGGATTACTTATGGATGTCAGGGACGAAATTTCCCCTTAATCTCTACCCAACTACACTATAGAAAGTGGACAGTTGTAAGCTCACTAGCGTTGCACGGGCTTGGGTTCGAACCAAGGAGAAAGTATCAAGGAGAACCAGGGACGACCAAGGCCCTAGGCAATTAGACCATGGCGCCGGCAACGCACGACAGCCACGTGCATTGACTTAATTGGCTTTACAAACCTCAAGTTTGCTTCCTAGTTCTTGGTCTGAGGACGATCTACCTCCTTATGGTAGGCTTGTAGGGGAAAACATTCAATATGCCCCGCATAGGAGTTGAAAGACAGCCTTTTCATGTAATAACGAGAAGACATCTAATGGTAAAACCTCATTGAAAAGTACATCTCATTGAAGGCCTGGCCAATTAAACACACGGAGGTTGATCAACATCGCCTAAAAACAAGGAAGGAAATTCGATGTTGCTGAGAATAACAGTAGTGTTGTCTTTCAATTGGTGTCTCACCGTAGGCAGAGGGGTTAGGAAAACAACTCGATATTCACTTCCATCTTGGTATTCGACAGCAGACGGACAAGTGACTTCACTCGAAAGTAGTGGAATTGGTTGCCTCATTTTCTGCCCTCCGAAATGGCTTAGAAAATTCTCTTTATCTTTGCGAGTTTTTATGGAGCTCGCAACCTTCATAACCTGTTCCGGCTTGGATTCACATTCAAATCAGTCTCCTTTGGACAGTCCTCGTACTTTCATGGAATGATCCTAGAGATTTCGCTCCTCGTCACCATGAGACCAGAAGCTCGCATTCTAGCGAGGTGAATGTGCTTGAGGCAATCACGAGTAGGAAAGCCAGACCTTCAGTTCACTAGATCCCGAAGCTATTCACTGTGCACAAAGCTAACTGTAAATGGACGGAATGTACAACTGAAAAAGGGGAATTACTCCCAAAGCTTCCCGTCACTATGACATTTTTGTCGACACTGTTTTACCAAACAATCGACTGAGGACTAACAGTTTGTAATGACCCATATTCTGATACTACCGATATTCTGTCTCATACATTCAAATGAAAAAGTATGCATTCGGTGATTACCGAATGTATGTTGGAAGACAAGACATAAGCAACTGTTTCACAAATGCCTATGACGGTTTCGGCAGACTTGGGTTTAGTGAGCAAATGAGAGAATGCGTTCTACGTACCTTCACTGCTCGACCAAACGCTCCAGCCGCAATTGTCTCCAGTATTTCCAGTTGCGATTCCTTCAACACAGGAGGGAGCTCTTCAAGTAGCCTAACAGAGTATTCACGACACAGACCGGATCGATTTCGCTCGGGGCTGGGATCATTTTGCGTGACTGGGACCTCCAGGTGTCGGACTATCCGGCAGGATGCATTCTGCAGACGAGGGATGAAGTGGATAGGTGTTGCTTCCTCACCTTATTTCTTGAGCGCTTAAGCGATACTATTGCGTGTGACAAACGGTCGAATATTGGCTTGTGTTCCGTAAATTTTCCAACAACAGGCGTCTTAGAATTGGAGGCCATCGTTGCTTTCAGCAACGTACGACGAAGAGCACGTGGTTGCTGTTGCGGTGCAGCCTACAAATAGATAAATCCTGCCACGTTGGATAAGCGACCAGAATTTATGGGTGATTGCAACTGATCCTTTGTTTGGTGTCTTTTCGCGCAGTGAGCCAAACACTTCACCCACGCCGCCCATTCATTGGCCAGCGGAGACGGACCAACCGGATAGCCGCTCCGTAGACAACCACGTGATGCAGATTGCGCAGTGAACTGCTACACCTATCGCGAATGGTCAGTTTGTGTTCTCATGTCCCTCATGGTTTTTAAACCTCTGGTGCCCGGACCATCACAGGGGCGTTTGTGTGTCTCTTCAGCGCATTCACGAGCACATACGATACCTCCGTTACAGGACTTTTCTCGGTAAAAAAATCGCTCGCGATCTGCTGAAAATGCCCGTATGCACGTACAGGCTGTCGGTACGCTGTTCTGAGCTGGATGAGGTGATAGTTCGGTCGATTGTTGCACGGATGTTCCTTGTATCAAGTTCAACGCTCAGTGACACGTTACAAATAACATGGGAAACTAGGTTTGAAGGCATCCAAGGGTCATCGGTCTATTCACGTAATTATGTATATTAGGAAAGTTGTCCGGTAAATGGATGACTGCACAGGCTTTATTGAGTGAGCGGCCAGGAGGTGAAAGGCAACTTACCTGATGGCAGATGTTGCATTGTGGACGTCAATAGCCACCAAATCCGTTCAGCAATGGAGCTGAAATAGCTTCTGGATGGTCCAGATGGCCTACACTCGCCAGCATGGTTGTGGTCTTAACAAAATGTGCCCAAATTCACACTAGGCGTTTCACTGTACGGAGCTGTCCACGGTGACCAGTGCCGGTTTACTGTTCAGACTTGAACGCGAAGCTGATCTTCCAGAATGTGTCTTGATAAAATCTATATTCTTGGTATGTATTCCACTAGAATCGAAACTAATCAGGAACAGCAGGCAACCCTTGTGATTCTTTACCCCACTGTTACGATTATAAAAGACTGAGCTAAAGCCCATCGTTGGAATGCTGCGTCAAAAATGTTCGATAACAAAAAATAAAGTATACGAAAGCTAGGTTGAGCTGTGAAAAATGTACATTATCTTAGTACTGTGTTTCCAACGCCAAAAATAGCATATACAATCCTAATTTCAATCGATAAGTTGAAATACACTCACATTTCCGGACTCCACATCTCGGAAATTAGCTGAGTGATATTCGTATGCTCCTATGTGAACACAGAACCAGTATGTTGGTAAGCATTTTGTAAGTACAGCACTCCTGCGAACAAAAATCACGGGAAAAAGAGATCCTACACCCAACTGTGTCTGACAGAGAACGATGTATTGTGCCTCCGACAGGAATTGCCTATTCAGAGGGGCCTTTTCTGGGTGCTATGGTATATAACACTTCGTATCACTTTGCAAGACAGTGAGCGTGATTTTCTGGTTTTGCTATTTACACAATGAGTATAAAACAAGGGAGGCAATAACAACCGGTATAGGTGACTAAATGGGATGATTAGGTAAAAAGTGTGCTTCCGAATTTGTGCCCCATATCATTTTTATATTGGGACGCCCCGACATTTGTAGGAATATTTCGATAAAATCTCTGCGATTGTCTTGCAGAACACTAAAGCTTCCAGACGGACTGTAGGAATAACCTGGTGTCAAGTTAACGATGGAATGTCAGAGTTAATACTTCCTCAAACATGACCTCTGGGCATTCTTATCTTCTGGAATCTGATGTTTCATCTTCCCCAAACCCATCAATTTTTTTCTCAAACCCGGGACTTTCTGAGTTATCAGAATTTTATTGGAAATCTTTTGATTGACTGACTTGGAACAACAATAATTGTGTGATTTTTTGTGCAACAACTGGGATTGTGTAAAAGTCAATGACCGATTTTGTTCATATGAGCACATAAAAATGAACAATTCGTTTTTAAGTTGAACACGTAGGCTGGTCCTGTGTATCGAGTTAGCCGGATGCTCACTTCACCAACTCACCGACCCCACTTGACCTTCTCCTCTATCACACTTGGCAAAGCCACTAACTCCACCGGAGGTCATTGCAAGGTTTAGCACTACGATGGGCCCGCGGTGCTACTTGAATCTTCGTTCCCATGGCTTATGAGGTCAGAATGGCGATCCGACTATTTCGGCAGTTGTAGACTGCCCTGAGCAATGGACAGATAGTATTGGAGCTTTCCGTTGGCACTGTAACGAAATACAATGAGACAAACTTGCAGACTGGCCCTGAAAACTCGACTTTGGGAATCCACTCACTGACGCCAATGAGACGGAACCTAGAGTAATCGGTAGGTTTAAAATACAAACGCTTACAATGGACTTCTGCATCACCCGAAAGTAAGCTGTCAATAGAATTGGAAGAATTTTTTCCTAACCGACTGGGCTGACCGATCTGTTCCTGGTTGCTCTCAAATATTTCTCTATTCCTCTCTATTTCTCTATTCCACGCTATCGCGAAGAAATATATCGTCAGCGTTTGAAAAATCGAGGCAACATACTGTCTAATGAGTGCAATGACTATTTTTTTCAACTGTACGTCGTGAGTCTGTTCATAGCGACATGGGACATTTTATGACAAAGCTGAAATAAGCATCCGGAGAAGGGGAATTTCCACCCTCTTTCCATTATCTCTCATCGTCCAGCAGCTGGACCACTATCGGTCACACTGATTATAGGTGCTTCGTGGATCTTTCTCACACATTTTGTGCCGAAAATACCTGAATCAGGTTCTTTCGTCCGTTTCAGGAATTTGTGGACACGAAACGCGGTTTGCATATGTCCTTTGACGCGGTATTCATAATTAAATCTTACCTACTGTCGACTGCTTGAATGACCCAAGTGGTTCTGGGTTAGCTGTCTGACGCCGGCTTAATCGGTTGTCGCAATCCTTTCAACATAAGCCCGACTGCCTTTAGATGGCACAGTTATAAGACAAGACCATTAGGCTGATTCATGCTACCTTGTGACCCCTCCGGCTCCAGCATTCAATCAGTTGTGGTGGACATTGGAACGGTCTCACATGCAAAGCATCAGACCATGTTTAGATCATGGGTTCTCACGCTGACGTCTCAGCTGGTGGCTCGGATAAGTTCAGTGTTCAGTGGTCCATACAAAATGTCCATTGACTCAACTCTGGTACAGAGTTAAGGTGTACTGAAGGATGTGGGACTCACCGGGTTTCCAAACCCTCCTTCTTGGTACAACACAACTTAGCACCACGTCATCCTCAGATTTTTACTAAAGCACTTTGTGGTCTCCATCGTATCACTTCAGGAAACACCTTGCAAAATTTGGCAGGATGTCCTAACAGTATAACGAACGCGTGGTCGTATAAGATTTTCAGTCTCGTTTGAAATAGGATAGCCGCTTCTGGGGTTGTAATAATCGGAAATTTTCAACGTTTCCATTATATCTTGTTCCTATTAATATGATCTGCTCGGGGGGAATGAGAGAGCTAACGTCATTAGATTTTAAAATAACTATGGCTCCGAATAGGACATTGGTGATCATGGGATATTCACGAAGGTATCGTTCGTTCCCCGATCACAGCATGTCAGTGGCTAGTGTGTTTTTGCAGTGTGGTCTCTGTGCCCTGCTTGGGGGAGCGAGGATAGAATGCA